CCTACACAGCAATGTTTTGAGCAGTTCAACGTATGTTTGTCAACAAAACAAAAGGTAGTAAAATAGTATAAATGTCAGTCAATAGTCATGAGAGTATCCAGCCGCGTGTGAAGGTAGGATCGATACTTCCTACTGCACCGTTGGGTGCAGCACACAGTCCACAATGGAACGAATGGGAATGTCTCTACGTCCTGGTGGGAAGGCTCACCACCAAATCATCGGAGGAATCCACTCCTGCAACACTTCGTCATGTACAAAAAACCTGAGCCATTCCAGTGCCCTGCAGGCTTGACTGCACGGCGAGGCAGCTCTCAAGTCACCCACGTGGGGTTCTTGTTGTTGAAAGCAACCAGGATGAACTTCAGATGAAAAGTTAGCTAGAGCAGGTCAGCTCCATGTGGCTTTAAGTAAAATTGAAAAAAAAAACAAAAAAAAAACGGCCACTTCTCATTCTAACCTTTTCACTCTTCTTTTTCAACACAAAAACGATTTAACTCACAAGTTTAACGGATGTAGATGTTATTTCAGGCTTGTTTCTCCATTCTTATTCTTGTTGTAATTGTCTGGAACGTCACGGAGCAGCACTCTCCTCCTCCCAGCAGCGCCGCAGACACCGACTCAGACACGTTACTCCAGGGCCGGCTTTGCCGACAGGCGACACAGGCGGCCGCCTGGGGCGCCATCTGATGGATAGGGCGGAAAAAAAAAATGAAATATGTAATATGAAATGCACTCTCTACACACTCAAAATTCCCCTCTGAAATTACATGAAATTAAAACATCAATATTTTAATTCTAATAATCTGGCTGCATGACGAGCTCCCGCTTGGGCCACCGCTCCGATGCATTTGACCGTTAAGGGTGCCGTAGATCACGTGCGTGGTTAGCACTGTAGAAGGACATCCTGTTGTCATCGCGTTTAAACTTTTGATATTTTACGATGAAAAGAACACCTAAGCCATCGGGATCAGCATTCCCAAAGCGAAGGAAGGAGGAAGAAAAAAAACGGACCTAAAGCAGAGGTATGTAGACTTTATAAATTTGGCAAAGGAACTTTTTGCGTTACAATTTTAGCTAACTGCCTCTCCTGCCACGCACGGTCCACGGACGGACCCTCGCTAGCTGTTTACATTCACAATACAGTATCTCATAACTTTAACCAATTAATTTTACTTTTGAATCGTCGTGTCCAGATGCAGTGAGACAATATCTGCAGCCTGTCGACACCACGGGGGCAGGACTGTCTTCTACACCTGAGTCTCAATGTGATGATGAAGAAGGTAAGATTTTTTTTCCCGTTTTTTGGAGTATGATTGCAGCCTTTTTATGAACTTTGATTCAAGTTTTAAGTACGCATACAATACGAATATAACGTTTTCATATCAGAAGAACGTTAGGTGTGGGTGGAGCAAAATTTCAACTTTGTCCGACACATTGGGCGGGCGGCACCGCCGCGGCCGTGGCGGGGACTCCCCAGCTGCCGCCGGGCCCGGCGGGGAGTGAGAACTGCCTAAACACAGCATGATATCTTATGCCGTCTCTTTCTTGTTTATGCTGCAGCGTCTTCATCCAGGCATCACGCAGCAGCAGCACATTTACTGAGCTACTGTCTCAGCATCTAGAACCAGGTGAGTAAGTTACTTGTTGGGCTATTTGTAATCAGCAGTAGAAACTTACTTTTTCAAATTAAACGGCTTATCACATATATCGATATGCAAAATTAATTTATTTAAATCCACACCAGACACTTGTTTTGGGCACAATCAGTGCAGCATTGATTTAGCATTGAGAATATTAAATAATCTGAACATACACATCTGAAAGTGTCTCCTTAAGATGTTATTGTCAGTTAGGCTGTAAATTTGTAAAAAAAGGATGGACATTAATTTTTGTGACATTAGTGAGTCATCTTGAGGGCAGAAAGGTTTATGCCCTGAAGAAGGTCGTACAGAAACGCGTCGGTGTTTCCTTGTTTAATAAGTGAAATCCTCAGAGTGCCTCAGATCACCTGTTCTTCTTCCTCATTTTCTACAATTTATTTGATGCTGAAGAACACCTGAGAGTGAGACATAATTTATTTCAAATATTCCCCATGGATGCAGTCACTTCCACCTGTTTTTGATAATTTTATTCATGTTTTCATAGAACAGATTTAAAAAAGATCAATAAAATAAAAAGTCCAGTAACATTAAAAATAATGAAAAGCATCACTGCACATGACCGAGGAATATTGAATGTGAAAGTGGCACTGTTCTTAATTCATGCATCACAGGGTTAAGTTGCTTTGTGTGTGTGTGTGTGTGTGTGTGTGTGTGTGTGTGTGTGTGTGTGTGTGTGTGTGTGTGTGTGTGTGTGTGTGTGTGTGTGTGTGTGTGTGTGTGTGTGTGTGTGTGTGTGTGTGTGTGTGTGTGTTTATTTTCTCACAGAAGAAGAACCCAACACCAGCAGACTCGGTGCTCCAATCCAACAGCCTGAAGAGACACCATCATCAGCTTCAACAGATGTCTGTGAACATGTATGAGCTGCTGGCCCCATGGATCCTGCTGACTGGCCACAGCAGTTGAACAAAACGGAAAGAAGAACTTTCTTTATGATGACACTGATATTTGAGTTTTGCTTTTGATTGCACAGTTTAATGCTGCTTTTGATTTTGCACCCCCCCCCCCCCCCCCATGACATCTGCACAACATTTTGAGTTGTTGGTTATTGTAATATTCTCAGGTTACTTATCTTTCAAGCTTACATTCATTCTTCAGGCTGTTGACTTTAAAGAGTTGCTGTGTGAATATTTAAAATAAAAAATTAGTAACTAAGGAATAACTGTGGAGTTGCTCTTTCCAATGTGTGGTGGGAGGGTGGGTTTTGGGTGAGAGGCATGCAAGTGGGGGGGGGGGGGGCACATGGGCAGTCTCGCCTTGGGCACCAAATTACCTAGAGCCGGCCCTGCGTTACTCCAGTTGATGGGTGGAACGAGTCACGAGAGTCTGAGTTCCAATTGGTTATGTTGCACAGAGTTTTTGTGCTGTGATTGGTTGGGAAGCAGTCAGTCTCTTCTGCCTCTAAAATCTCTTAAAGAGGTACACCCATTTTATGTGGGTTACATCCGCCTCTTTTCACTCCTCCAGCCACGGAGGAACAAACCTTAATATTTTAGAGTTTTTTCGCGAGGGATTCTTCAAGCTGCTCAGTATCTGCCACTAGATATCCTCGGCTCTCTTTATGCTTTTTAGGGCTCAATGGCAACGCTGTAGACGGCAGTGGAGTGTTGACCAATCACAAGCTTGCGTTATCTGTCTCGACAGACGGATGTTTAGAAAAGAGAGCTCGACTCCATCCGTTCTCGTGAGCCTGCTGGAGAGCCCTCGCAAGGATAGATAATGGCGTTGTGCGCGTCCGTCCCAACGCAGAAGTATAAATTAGAGCAAGTCATCCCCTACTAGAGACTTACTTCACTCCCACTTAATGTTTGAAAAATGCAACAAATTCTGTTGCCTGGCAGACCGAGAGGGTGAAGCTGCTAACAAATACACAAACACACAGGCTTCCAATGGCATTGTGACATCATAATGTACCAGTTTACATCATAGCATACCTCTTAGCCAATAGCGGTGGCAGATTTAAATTCAAATACAGTGCAGTGTTTACCTGACGACGGCGCAACACTGACAGTTTTAGGCAGAATATTTAAAATTTTACTAAAATGCACTGAAGTTCCAAATTATTGACTACACATGTCTGCAACAGGATTAGACACTCGTTCATGTCGTTTATCAGCAAAAAAAAAGTTGGTTTGGGGGTGACTTGCCCTTTAAGTCTCATCCCAGTTGGTTGTGCTCGGAAAACCTCACAAGGCAGGTGTCCTGGAGGCATCCTAACCAGATGCCCAAGCCACCTCAACTGTCTCCTCTCGACAATAAGTAATAATAATATAGATAAAAAATATTTGTTTATTTGTTACATTGGTAACCACAAACTCTTAACCCTGTAACTGACGAGTCACTGATTCAGTTAAAGAGCGGGTCAAGTGTGCCTCAGCGTCCTTCTCCACTCACGTATCAATTTTAAAAACTGCAACATTAGTAGGTGTTGCCTGGCGGACCGAGAGGGCAGAGCCGCGGCAGTGACGAAGACAATGTGTAACGAGACGATGCTAGCTCCCTTCACTCTGAGCAGTCATTAGAAGTGGAGGACGTTTCTCCCCCTCCTTACCCAGACATTCGAGAAGAAAGGAACCAAGTCTATTTGGAGGAGACAGGCGGACCTGAGCCTTATTGTTTTGAGCTTGTGAGTTGCCTGAAACTACCGGAACCGACCCAACAGAACCAGCTCTGAATGGTAAGTAGCCGTTAGCCATAGCATTAGATTAGCTGCAGGGTTTGGCTCGACGGCCCTAGAGAGCTAGTATTCAGCATGTTTTAGAGATTTATCTGCTTCAACACACCTGGTTTTAATCAGCAACAAATAGCTGAGCTGCTTAACAGCTAATCTAACCTGTTAAAGCAGGAAAACCACTGAAATGTGCTGGATAGCAGCTCTCCAGGAGCCCTGGGCTTAAGTTACAGTCTGCTGCAGAAAGTTATGAAAATACCCCATGAGAAAATTATTCTGTAATGTGTTCAGCCCACTAAAACTGCCCTGATTTCATTATTTATTTACTGATACCAGCTGCTCTCTTGGTTGCAGGTGATCCTCTGGTGTCTGCAGCTGGTCTCCTCTGCTGGTGTCGTCAGGATCAGGAGCTTCCAGAAGAATGTGCCTTTCAACGACTCTTTCCCCCTTATTTGTTATATTAATTAAATAAATCTCAATTTATATATTTCCTGTTTTTGTTCATGTCCATAAATACTTAAACATGCTTGAAATTTAAACTAGCTTTTAACAGTGAGGTGCTAGTTTAATTAATCGCAATAGAGCTAGTTAAACATGCAACAATGTGATAATTCAATTAATGTAATTTTATAAATATACATTAAAATATCAAAACTGGAATCAAAATGAGACATTTGGCAGCACAAAAAACTTGTCAAACACATTATTTATTATAATAATTGTAGGCAGACAGGAGACAGAGCTGATGGAGGTTCTCAGTCATCGAAGGATGGCTGAAGGCTTTCCAGGAACAGGAGATGTGGTGTTGTCTCTTCTCCCTCTATTCTGCCAGATGAGCTGATAGGTTACAGGTGTGTGAGGACATCCTCATGCTGTCATAACCAGATGACAGGAGTTATCAGGTGATCAGCCAGGCTAATGATGAGAAGCAGAAAGAAAACCAATCCAGGACAGTGTACAGTAATAACAAAAATATGTGGTGTTAATCACCTTATGTGCTCTTATAGAGTATTAACGTGTGCCTGCCTCATGGTGTAGAGTCCATATTTTGCTGAGTGTCCTGCAATAATGCAGGTTATTAGTTAATTTACTTTTGATAGCAACGAACAAAATATTTAATGTAAAAGTTATTTACCAGGTGAATCAGCTCACACGTCACCACCAAGTGTCACGGGCAGAATTAGTAGCCTCCTTCATGATGTCATGATGTAATCACATACTTATTTAATTGTTAATATCTTAAAAATTCTGAAATGTTTACATTTTTCTACCTTGAACAGTTCACTGAGCTTGCACTGTCATTGAGGTGGAAGCTGGAATCAACAGCAGACACCTCACATCTTGGTCTTTTCAGGGGTGTGGACGCTGCTCTGGGAATTTCTGGAATATTAATTTCCGTCATGGTCCCTGTGTCACCAGACACACTGTGGCTGAGAGCTCTAAACTGGGCGGCCATGTAAAAAACAAAGAAACAGCACATTTACAAATGTTTAAAAGAGCATAAAATCACATGTAACAATAATCTGTAAAACAAATTAAAACTAGAAGGTGATAATAAAATGTTTACATAGAAGATTATTAAAAATTATTCACCTTTGCTACGGGTAAGGCTTCACGTCAGCCTGGACAAGTGCATTCTTGCAGACTACTAAATCAGTCTGACAGCCAATGTCTTGGGTAGATTTAGCCTGAAAAAAAAAATAGAAGCACATTGTTGTTAGAGTTTATAAAGTCAGATAATATACAAAAGAAACTGTCAGATATAGGCGCTTTATAACATTCCTAGTGTGTGATCGTTATTATAACGTAAAAGTCAGTCACATATGATGTGGAGAGCCTGAAATGCGACCTCCTGAACAGAATTCCTCACAGAACCGGGTCACGCTGTGGTGTAAAGCTGGATTTCACGATGTAATGTTGTCTGTCAACTAGTGCTGCGTTATTTAGAGCCACTGTTGCAGAATTACTGACTGACACTAGGGGTTGCATGACTTAATTGTTTTTTAAAGTCAACAGTCAAGTAGTGAAAATCGAGTCAACTTCGACTAGTCGTTGATGACGTCATACATCTGAAGCGGCCGGGGGGGGGGGGGGTGGGGGGGGGGGGGGGGGGGGGGGGGGGGGGGGGGGGGGGGGGGGGTGTCGGTAGGTTCGCTGGAGTTTTTGACAATTAAAATTGCGCCCACATTTTCTAAGTTAACACATCTCTTTTAATAACGGTACTTTCTGCATCCTACTTCAGTCCACTCCCCCCTCCCCCTGCGCAGCAGCCGCATTCTCACTGATGCGCCTGCAGCCTCTCTGAGTTCCTGCTGCTCTAAACATTAAAATAATTATTTCATTTTCTGTTCCTCACTTCTGATTACCTTCAATGGTGTCTGTCTGTTGCAACCACCAGGTACAAAAACAAACTTGTTTTTATTTGACTATTTTTCTGTCCTGCCTGTTTATTATCTTCCTGCATCTCCTCTCAATCCTAAAGAAAAACTGCTACCTGGGTTCATATATATTCACCTTATGAGTTACCTTTGAACTGCAGTTCTAAAACATCTACCAACCGCAAAAACAGCGGAGTGCTCGCTGCTTGGCGGCCGACTACAACGGGACCGTTTTGCTGCGGAGTTCGTGCCGGAGCGGAGCGGAGATAGTGGAATTTTGGGGGTGCGTCACCGGAGAACAAAACAAGTGATGTGCCTCGCTCTGCAGCAGCAAAACGCATCAGGCACAAATAACAGACAGAAAACATTAAATTTAATTCATTTTTGAGGTGGTGACACCTGATTTGGTGGTGCTCAGGACGCAGATGTCTGGAGCGCATCAACGATCAGAGCTTTGCATGCGCAAACTGGTTAAGATTAGGATTGGGGTGAGGGGAAGGTAAAATTGCAAGAGGGAAAAGGTCACAGTTTGGTTAAATGTCGGTTTTACTGCCGGTGTCGACGCTCTGGCACAGCGCGTTGCCTCCGCCTCCCGACGCAGGGGCTCATGACCTGCTGTCTTTTCCGAGGACTGCATCTTGTCAGTTATTATCACGTGACAGCGACTAGTCGATGATAGGCATAACAAGTCACTACAGAGCCGTGAAGTCGACTAGTCGACTAGATCATACAACCCCTAACTGACACAATAACAATCCGAATTTTCTCCGAGCCTCACAGTAATAGTCATGTGGACCGTTTCGTCGGCCAGGGCTTCGAGATATGCTCCGATTCACCGCTGATTCTAACCTTACATCCCGTTCCACATTTTGTGAACTTGACAAATCAGCCCGAAGGCAGTGCAGAGCTAAATTAAGTGAACCACGTCTCTCAAACGTTGCATTTAGGTAGGGAATTGTCTTTAGAAGATGTTAAAACTTTTATTTAGCTTACTCACCTCAGACTGGAGCCCGCCATGGTGGGGGAGCAGAGTCAGTGGGCTGCATCTAAATCGCGTAAGAGCCACGGTGGGCACGGCCTCCCTCTTCAAAGGGAGAAGTGCAGAATAACCCAGTTCAAACTCCATCATGTTGGCGAAGGAATCGCGGGTAAAATGCTAGTTGCAAACTACAGCACCGGGCGGGAGCTGACTGTTTTCCAGACACCGATTGCGTGCAACCACTGGTGCCTAATTTCTAAGTCCAGCAGAAAGGAGTGCAACCCCACAGAGCCACCGAACCCACTACACTACACCTTCTCACCATACTAACACGATATGAACACTAAAACTGAACTACTTTCCTAATAACACTAACAGCCAAACACTAACTAAACTACAATATCCAACAGCCAAGCTAACACTAAATAAGTATGTATAACACTAAAAGCTATGCTAAAGATTAGGATATGCTAATGCTAGATGCTAATCCTGATCTACCACTAACCGTCCTACACTGGCTTGCAAATCCAACTCCCAACTCGCCACAAGGCGTGGCCGAGACTCTCGATGCTTTTATAACTTTGACACGGAGCTGCTACGTAGTACTCTACTGGTTTACGTAGTATCTTTCACTTTAGCCATTGGCTAAAGTGTATTCAAAATGACTCAAACTCTATGTTTTAAGCTGAAGATGGCGCTATGCTGTGGTATTTAGGCAGAATTTTTAATTTTTAATGAAAATGCACCAAAATGCTAAAATAATGAATACACACATTTAAAACACTATTAGACACTCATTTATACAGTTTATCAGCAAAAAAAGAGTTAACTTAGACGTTACTTGCTCTTTAAATATATTTGAATCCCTTCATATTACAGAGAGCTTAGTCTCCTCCCCCTATGGTCAGCTCATGGGTTTCCTGACACCCCCCCCCCCCCCCCCCCCAAAAAAAAATGAATGTAAGGGAACAAAGTTATAAAAGTTATTTTCTAAGCTGCTTTGCCTTATGCCCTGGATCACACGTGCTATACTTTTCACTAAATGAAAAATAAGTGTGTGTTTTAATTATGCCAGTGATGTAATTTAATAAAAATCAAAACAAAGAAGAAAAAAAAAGGAAAAACATTTTTATGGTGGTTATTTGGTGTAGATATAAAAATATTCATACCTCCAGAATTTATTATTATAAACTAAAATACATTGTAGAATCATTGGTTTTGTTTAAATCTAAATTAGTCGAACTGATTAAACACTTTTAGCCATCACATCAGTCATCATCTTGTACATGTTGAACTCTTTAATATGAGGGGGGGTCAGTGATGTGTTAAATGGGGGCGGGGCTTGCCAGAATCAGGAGACTTTTTTTTGTCTGGGTCTGTAAATTGAACCCTTGGGTCCTGCTAAACTTGACAGCATTACCGCAGAGATCCAGCAGGGGCGCTGCTGCTCACCAGCCCTCCGCGCCCGCCTGGACGGTCGGACTGAATATTCAAAGTTTATAAAAGGCTCGCGGCGCATCGGAGAGCGGCGGAGCGAAGATCCGAGCAGAAGTTATGATCTTAGAAAGAACTCCCGAGTTGTTAAAAACCCACTTCAGGCTGAGCCTGCGTGGAGGAGTGATGAAGCATCTCGCTGTCAGCCGGCCTGTCTGTCAGTGGGCCAGCGCTGCGTGGAAACATCTCCCCGGCTCACGGGGTTCACACGCGGGGAGTGCAGCCCAGTGGCCGGTGTGTGTGTGTGTGTGTGTGTGTGTGTGTGTGTGTGAGAGAGAGAGAGACGGGTGTGTGTGTGTGTGTGTGTGTGTGTGTGTGTGTGTGTGTGTGTGTGTGTGTGTGTGTGTAGAGGGTGGGGAGCACGCCCAATGCGAGAGCAGAGTTAAGGGAAGGAGGGAGATACGGAGCGGAAAGAAAGGGAAGAGTTGAGTGAGAGAGGAGGAGGAGGAGAGAAAGAGCGAGGGGGGAGGAGAGCTCCGTCTCTCCCGGTGCACTTGGCAGTCTAGTTGCGGGCTGCTGTGCTGTTGCTGTCGTGGCGTGGCTGGTCGCGCCGGGCGGGGAACTTCACCACACTGGAGCCCGGAGTCCAACTCTCTCACCTGCGCAGTTCGGAGCTGCCATGGGTCTCTCGCCAGGATTTACTGTCCTAATTATTCTGCCGGCCTTCCTGCTGCACACCAGCGGCCTTTACATCGCCAGTAGCGTTAGTAAGTACAGCACAGAGCCAAACGTGGTCAGTGTTTATACTCACTATCTGCTCATCTTTTATCAGCAGGAGGAGCTGCGCAGTGCTCCTCCTGCCCGAGCGCTCTCTGGAAGTCTGCAGCGACACTGTATGCTTCATCCGCTTCTTTTAGGTTTTATTTGCTTTCTTTTAAAACGTTCACCCCTAAAATAAGACATCTGATAACTTCTGGGTGTTCCGCTGTTGTGTTTGCACATCCAGAGGTTGTGATTCCTGCCCCCTTTATGATTTAGTGGGTGTTTAAAGGGGCATCAGATGGAGCGATACACTGTCGGATTTTGCAAGGAAGTAGCCAAACGTTATCTGATTCGGCCGCTGTCGCATCTATCGATCTGTCACAGGACGCAGGGAGTCGGATGTCAGCCTATTGATCACACTATTAGCAGATCGGTCCTCCAGCACGGAGATGCAGGAGCCGTCAGAGCGGCTTTGGTCTGATCAGTCAGCAAACTTTAGAAATTACAGGAGAACGTTCAGGTGTGTGTGTGTGTGTGTGTGTGTGTGTGTGTGTGTGTGTGTGTGTGTGTGTGTGTGTGTGTGTGTGTGTGTGTGTGTTGACACTGACACCCATGGGTTTGTCTCAGAGTGTTGAAGTGTGCGTTATTTTAATTAAGGGGCATGACACGCACGTGCTGTGTGTCTGTCAGTGACATACGTAGGATGATGATGGAGAGGGTCAAGGTGGATTCATCTTAGTTCCCTTTCTGTTGGTGCAGATTGGCAGCGATAAAACACTGTGAGAAAGCCGCAGTTAGCACCTTGATCTGCTCTGTTTGGTGCTGGAAGGGCAGAAGGTGTCAGAAGCGCAGCGCGCGCTGCTGAGACTGTCGTTTCCAAACTCACAAAGCCGAATAGCAGGGTCGCCTCTGGGTTCATGGGTGGGGCTGTGTGTGTGTGTGTGTGTGTGTGTGTGTGTGTGTGTGTGTGTGTGTGTAAAGGACATTATCCTGCCCCCCTTTTTTACTGCAGTTTAAGAATAATGTGAATATTTTCTAATCTATTGTTTCCTCTCACCCATTTTCACCATCCTTTTCCTGTTCCCAAATCATGACCTCTCATTCCCTCCATCCTTTGGCTTCTCTCCTCTTTTTCAAATCATCTTTCCCCATTACCATTCCTTCCACTTCTCTCACTTTCCCACCTGCCTTCCCCCCAGACTCCCTGCAGCACATCCTGGGGGAGTATGGACTGGTTAGGCCGATCAGTGTGGACGCAGAAGGCCGATTTCTGTCACACGCTGTCTCGGCTGGCTGGGTGGCAGAAGGGCAGTCCCGTAGGCGCCGGAAGAGGGAGGTAGGAGAAGGGATTGATGAGTGGGAAGGAGCAACAAGAGCCGAGGAGAACCGAGAGCACCCAGCTCATCAGGAAAGGCTTTACTACAATGTCACCGTCTTCGGCCGGGACTTCCACCTGCGCCTGCGCCACAACGCCAGGCTGGTGGCCCCCGGAGCCAAGATAGAGTGGCACGATGACAGTGACAGCATCCGGTACTTTGAGCCACTGCATGATGAGTGCCTGTATGTGGGAGACATCACGGACATACCAGGAGCCACTGTGGCGATCAGCAACTGTGATGGGCTGGTGAGTAGACAACCCGTCTTACCTGCAATGTGTTCTAGCTGCTGAGCTCAGCAGAAAGGCATATGTGGCTGGAATACAAGAGGAAGTGCAATGGGAGAGATAGCAAATAAAAGAAAATGGGCTTTTTTCTGTGCTTTAGGTCTAAAGTTTATAATGCTGTTGTCCTGGTTATCTCATTGGCCCAGTGATGTTTTGGAGAAGAGGTTCATAAGGAATACTTGATATCTTCATGAGAGCTCACTTGTATCACTTCAAGGGTAAACTTGATGGTGAATTATGATTACCAGTGCCAGTGCAATGGAAGTGCATGATTCAGGCCTGCATGGGCTGGTGTCTTTCAGCACATTGCAAACCAGGACACTGAGTTGTGAAGGTTGGCTACACATTACAGCTGGAGTTCACCAGTCCGTTTCCAAAGTGTCTCAAAATATTTGCTAAGGATCTGGACGTAATTTTCACTTTAGACGTGGGGGGGGGGGGGGTGGGGGGGTGCACGGGGGAGGGGTATCTTACAGTATGTTCTAATGGGAAACAGGCTTTAACACAAACGGTTGTTGTCTGCTTGGTCCTAGAGCTCAACCAGTGTCAATTTAATATAGCGTAATATTGTTTTTGAATGGTAAAAAGTGCAGGGGTCATAACTTGACTTTGGAAAAAGTGTGTGTGTGTGTGTGTGGGGGGGGGGGGGGGGGGGGGACACCCCCCCCAAAAAAAAAATTTACGTCCATGGTCACAGGGCATTAGTTTTGTCAAGTTCTACAAATTTTTCAAGACAAATGTCCTCTCGGAAGAGTCGACTCAGGTTTCTCAATCTTGTCATTAATTCTTTTCAGTCTGACTCAAGAACCTGAGGGGTTGGTGAATGAAATGAGTGATCATTCCTGGGCCTTTCCATCAGGGGTGTAGCGTACAGGAAGTGTAGCACGCAACAATTAGCCACCGCTACAGTCGATGGGTGCGCTTCCACCAACTGCAAAGTGTTGTGATTGGGTCGCGTTCCAGATGTAGTGTCACATCGCTTCGCTAAATTTATGCTTCAAGCCTTCTTATATGTGCTATGCTTCCAGAACACATCAAGATTAGCAGTGTAGATCAGAACAGAAAGATAGAAGTGTAAAACATCTGGAAACTTTCAAAATAAAAGTCACTTGCAGATAAAAAAAAGCCTAATTGTCCGTGAAACCTTCTTAGCCGAGGTAAACACAACAGAAAATAAACCACAGACCTGGATGCATGATGCCATCTTTGCACTTACTTGTAATCCTGTGAACTGCTGTAATCACGCGTGGTCTTGTACTCTCACAGTCTGTTTGCTGGTTCCATCAATTGGTCACATGACCAGAGCATAAATAAAACTAGTTACAAAGGTTATTCTAAAAGATGCCTTTAGTTAGTTATCTTCGGGTATTTTCTTGAAAATTTGTCTCTTCACCTAGTTGCTAATAGTTGTAGGTTCTGTGAGACCAAAAGATGACACAACTTTGACAGGGATTGGGAACAAAACTAGAAATAAAATGAGGGTAAACTGAGAAGAAAAAGGCAGTGTAATCAACATATATTGCGACTAAATAGAGAAAATATGCACATTTATAATTTCTTTGTAGTTTTGTTTTATTCTCCATGTGACATTTCTGTCACACCTGCCAAACTGGCAGATGTGGGAGTGTATTACGCAGGACATTTTTGAACCATATAGGACAATGTCCTCATGATTTGTATCTATTTATTACCACTGAGTACTATAGTGACCTCTGACCTTCACATATTATACATATGTTTATTGTGACAATAATCTGGTAAAATTATTTGACATTTCTACAAAATGCTAAACATTTTCAACCATGAGGATGAGAAAAATAAATGAACAGAGTTGATCACCAAACTATTAGAGATTATGGTGTAATTCGAAGGAATTCTTATGAAACATCAGAAAACATCTGAACTAATGTCTAAATATTGTAATGATCCGTAAGGGGCTATTATTATTGTTGTTATTGATGTTACAGAGTGCCTGATCAGAAATTATCATTAAAATGGGTGTTCAGTGTTCCAAACCTTAAGCATTTCCTTTTAAAAGCTAGCATAGCATCTGGTTGTACTTCCTTTTGCCTTTGCTTGCATTAAAGCCACACTATGCAACTTTTTCATTTTTCTAAATCATTTTCTTGAGCGAGTATGTGCTAAAATTAGGGCGGCACAATACATCGCAAATGTGATGTCATCGTGATACTGGCATGCGCAATACGCATATCGAAAAGAACAAAAAACAATGAATGGTCAGCTTAAATGTTTGCTACTCATAACACATTTTGTCAATCAAATGGAAGCATGAAGTTTTTGACAAACCAAATCGGGTGGGTTCTCATAGGTTAGATGCCCGCCCCCTAGGCGGACGGCACTTAACTCATTCACTGCCATTGACGACTAAAGTCGTCACTAGGGCTGCAACAAACGATTATTTGGATAATCGATGAATCGGATGGGGTCTCGACACGATTAATCGATTAATCGGATTACATGGGGAAATTTTTAAAAACTGCTAGGGAAACGTTATTTCTCTCCTTCCTTCACTTTATTTAACACAACATTATTAGAAAACAGTTCAATAGCAGAAAAACAACATGCCATCACCTAAATTGTCTTATAAGGTGTATAGACAGAGACCCTAAGCTACATCTATCTGTGACCTAAAATGCTTGGTCCAAGTTAAACAGCTTAAGGGCAATTCTCATCTGTTTTGTTTGATCTCATCTGTAGACATTTATTATAACTGGGGATGTCAAACAACTAATTTTTAAATGTAATTAAACATAGGCTGTGAATTAATCAAAATTGATCACTATTTCCAAAAATGACTGAAAAAATACCAAATAAAACAAAAGTAAATTAATGCCATCCTCCTTGTGATGATGCCCTGGGTAACTGCCATAAAGTCACATCAAGAAATGCTGCTGATCATTCCAATGATCCCAAATAGACTCACATTAGGCCACATGAAAGCAACTGAACCCAAAAATATATTAACCAGTATATAACTGCACTCTCACACAACACGCCTGCAGCAACAGTTAGGACTCCTCCCTCCCTTTTAAAAGCGTTTTTGCTTCCGAGGACATTGTGGTTGTAAAACCACATGCTAGTAGTCTGGCCCCGGTGTGATCAACCAGTTTCTGCGGGAATGTGACGGCGGAACCAGGGCCAGATTAACACTTTGTTGTACCCTGGGCAACAATATTCAAGGGCCCCATCATCACGACCTGAGGATCACCATTATGTGGTCACATACAGAATATTTTACTGTAATATGCAGTAAATATACTCAATACTTGAATGCCTGGCAACACGTAACCCGCCCAGAGTAACCTTTGACCCACCTCGTGTGGACTGACCATTGAGGAGAGGGTCTTAACTTGAGGCCCTCTCTTCATTGGTCAGTCTGCATGAGACTGACTCTCAAATGACGTTCAGTCATAGGCAGCGAAGCGTCTCTGTGCAGCGCAAAATCCCGGGTGGACAGTTTGTTTAATATAGGGTGACCATATTTCCATTTCCAAACAAGAGGACAGGGGATCTGTGCCTATGACGTCACACTATGGCAACACCACACAAACCATGTAGGGACCCATTTTTTGTAAGAACTAAATATCAGATTCTGCCAATAAAAGGGCTCTAAAACAATTCATATGTAAATATTTTACATATTTAATGCAAAATCTCATTTGTCTGCTTTAGTGCTGCAACAAGGTTTTATTAATAATAAATTATTATACCTTTTGTTTTACTACAGCATTGGTAAGCTTCCTGTGCACAGATTATTAAGAAAGTGTTGTTTCAGCTGTGAGATTAGACGATAGGGTCAATGAAAAAATAAGTTGTCACACACTCCATGGAAACTTTCAGAGAATCCACAAATAGTGGCTTTCACATGGTTTTGTTACTTTTTGCAAGTTTACAAAAGAAGCAGATGAGACAGCATGCCTGATTGTTTAGTTTTTCATCTGATAATATTAGAACATGTCAGTAATGTCTGAGGGGCTTTTATAAACACTGTATAATGAACACTACTGGAGAGGGTATGCATTACACAGAGGCTTCTGGGGAGCCCAGTTATGGGGGGGGGGCATTTTGCCTTGGCCCCCAAAATGTCTTGAAACGGCCCTGGGTGTGTGACAGAGTTTTGAATGTGATCTGAATTGTATCAGATGTATAAATATGACGTGTATAACTTATTGTTTTTTACTGGTAAAAACGTGTAGTGGAGATAAATCTATGTACATTTTACTTTTCAACACTTTGTTTTGTTTTCTTGTTTTTATTTAACTATTTTCCTGTCCTGTCTCTCATCTTCCTGCATCTCCTCTTAATTCTCCAGAAAAACTGCTGCCTGGATTCTTTCTTTTTCACCTCAGCAGTTACTTTTGAGCAGATCAAAGGGATCTCCTGACCGCAAAGCGGAGTGCACGTTTTCGATGCTGCGTCAGTGAGGTGAAATCACTGCAGTACAGGTGATGAGCTCTGCAGTAGCAGAGCGCTTCAGGCACAAATAAGACAGAAAATAGAGAACATGTGCAGACATGAACGATCGTGTGCTAATTATAGTTTTTTGGTTGCGCCACTTTGCGAATGGACCGTGCGCTGGAAGCAGCTGCCTGGATCGCTGCGCAACAACGCGCTGTGCCGCTCTCTGCTCAAAAGAGTCCAAAAATGATATAATATAGAAAACTTTTTTCCGGCTCCCCTGGATGTGTAGGATATACAGCTACCCCATAATTCGATCCCTGCTCCTGGATGAAAAGCCGGACATTTTCATCAATACAAGAACCCGCAGTCCGGATGCGCCGGACAGAGAGTGAAAAGTGGACAAGTCCGGGGAAAACGGAACGTACGGTCACCATAGTCCTCATAAAGTGGGAAATTATAGATACAGTTTTTTGCTCGTGCCCTGGGCCCTTTAGAGTTCGTGCGCCCTGGGCAATTGCCTTGGGCGGAACCGGTTCGCA